TGCACAATACACTTTCCTTGCCATTTTATCCTCTGGTTTTCCACTTATGGAGACACCAGAGACAGAACAAAAACAGGGTCTTTTTCTCATGCTAGAGCTCTTCAGCAGAGCTCTGCGCATGGGCTGCCCTGGAAGAGCATTGAACCAACATGCTCACTTAGAGGGGGGGGGTGTTTATCATTGGTGATGACAAAATGCCACCTCTCTGACTCTGCACCTCCCCCTCCCCCTCTGTCTGGGCCACTGTGGTTCAAAAATGCCTGGGCTCAATATTTTCCAAGTCCAGGCTTGGTGGTTATGGTGTCAGGAGTCGCCTGGTGCCATCTCCCACATAGGATTTAAACCATTTTCAAACCATTTAACACTTATCTCGGGCCCTGTGAACTCGCGTCCGGCCCTCTTCACATATAATGCAAAAAAAGACGTTACCTTTCCCCAATAAATAAATATGGATTTTACCCGTATTTGGACAGAATTCATTGGCGGAGTGCGTCACATGACACTCCTCAGTTAGAGAATTTTGTCCAAACTTTGGACGTACAAACGTCTGTGAAGAATGGCCGCACCGTGTCAAACTGTTTAATGTTTGGGAAATCCTAACCGTAAATTTTCTCTGAGTTTGTGTCTGTCAATAAAAAAAACTATAACAAACGCAAACTAGGAAATCCCACTGGAGGTCCACGTGACAAACCATTAATCGGTCCGTGGGGACTATTTACTTCCATGGGAGTCTCCGTATACGGCTCTCACTGAATTTGTAGGGGTAAACAATTCATTAAAGAGGGTCTCACTAAATTCCATGTGGGTAAACTACTTAGTTTATAGGTTAAAGTGAATTCCGTTGTGTAAAAACATCCATTTTTGAAGGGATTATATGAAATTTATTGATATATTACATTATTTGACTACGTATTTTATAATTGATTTACATGTTGAATGTATTATTTATTGATATACTTTCCTATGTCTTGGCTTTTGTTTTGTTATTTGACTGTTTTCATTTTATTGTTTTATCTATGTGGTTTAATATTTGTCTATTTGTTTTATTACTTATTTGTTTTTGTTTTTTTCTAGAGATAAAATGTCGCGCTAGTCTTCTGAAAATGAAAGTCTAAAGTGGCACATAGCACCCAGCATTATATGGTTAAAAAACACCTTGGATAAAGTGCTGGGTGATAAACTGGTCAATCTGGTTGGACGTGTTCTGCCTCTTACTCATTATCCAGTCACTATGCAAGAAAACAGCCGTTTATCCTGACGGAGCGACCTCCAGAAACTCCACTATAACCACCGCAAAATACCGGGCATTCGAGCGAATTCAGAGCTGAAAGGAAAACTGAGGCTAAAATGAGGCTGATTTGGGATAATTTTCTAACTCCGCTGTACTCGATGCTCGGCTGTTCTATCCTCAGTTTCGTCATTCGTTGTTCGTTTTGCCTCAGTGTGGAATTTAATTAATAACGTTAACAGAAAATTCACTGTCTTCTAAAATTACCCAAACTGTGAACTGGAGCCCATCCAAACTGCCCCAGAATACCCCCAACATAGAACAGATAGGAACGTCACTAGCAATTTTCACCATGGCCATCAGTGTAAGGGTTAATAAACTTAATAACCCCCTCCTCTCACTCCATATAACCCTCCCTATAACTCCTCCTATTACTCCATATAACCCTCCCTATAACCCCTCCTCTCACTCCATATAACCTTCCCTATAACTCCTCCTATTACTCCATATAACCTCCCTATAACCCCTCCTATTACTCCATATAACCCTCCCTATAACTCGTCCTATTACTCCATATAACCCTCCGTATAACCCCTCCTATTACTCCATATAACCCTCCCTATAACCCCTCCTATTACTCCCTATAACCCTCCCTATAACTCGTCCTATTACTCCATATAACCCTCCCTATAACCCCTCCTATTACTCCATATAACCCTCCCTATAGCTCCTCCTATTACTCCATATAACCCTCCCTATAACTCCTCCTATTACTCCATATAACCCTCCCTATAACTCCTCCTATTACTCCATATAACCTCCCTATAACCCCTCCTATTACTCCATATAACCTCCCTATAACTCCTCCTATTACTCCATATAACCCTCCCTATAACTCCTCCTATTACTCCATATAACCCTCCCTATAAACCCTCCTATTACTCCATATAAACCCTCCTGTTACTCCATATAACCTCTCCCTATAACTCCTATAACTCCTCCTCTTATATATATATAACTCCATATAACCCTCCCTATAACTCCTCCCACTACTCCATATAACACTCTCTATTGCTCCTCCTATAACACTCTCTATTGCTCCTCCTATAACTCCTCCTATTACTCCATATAACTCCTCCTATTACTCCATATAACCCTCCGTATAACCCCTCCTATTACTCTATATAACCCTCCCTATAACCCCTCCTATTACTCCATATAACCCTCCCTATAACTCCTCCTATTACTCCATATAACCCTCCTATTACTCTATATAACCCTCCCTATAACTCCCCCTATTACTCCATATAACCCTCCTATTACTCTATATAACCCTCCCTATAAACCCTCCTATTACTCCATATAATCCTCACTATAACTCCTCCCATTACTCCATATAACCCTCCCTATAACTCCTCCTATTACTCCATATAACCCTCCCTATAACCCCTCCTATTACTCCATATAACCCTCCCTATAACCCCTCCTATTAGTCCATACAACCCTCCCTATAACCCCTCCTATTAGTCCATATAACCCTCCCTATAACTCCCCCTATCACTCCATATAACTGGTCCCTATAACTCCTCCTATTACTCCATATAACCCTCCCTATAACCCCTCCTATTACTCCATATTCCCTCTCCCTATAACCCCTCCTATTACTCCATATTCCCTCTCCCTATAACCCCTCCTATTACTCCATATAACCCTCCCTATAACCCCACCTATTACTCCATATAACCGGTCCCTATAATTCTTCCTATTACTTCATATAACCCTCCCTATAACTCCTCCTATTAGTCCATTTAACCCTCCCTATAACTCCTCCTATTACCCCATATAACCCTCCCTATAACTCCTCCTATTACTCCATATAACCCTCCCTATAACTCTTCTGATTATTCCATATTACCTCCCTATAACTCCTCCTATTTGTCCATATAACCCTCCCTATAACTCCTCCTATTACTCCATATAACCCTCCCTATAACTCTTCCGATTACTCCATATTACCTCCCTATAACTCCCCCTATTACTCCATATAACCCTCCCTATAACTCCCCCTATTACTCCATATAACCGTCCCTATAACTCTTCTGATTATTCCATATTACCTCCCTATAACCCCTCCTATTTGTC